ATTCCAAAGCTCCTTCCATGACATTTGGCTGTCTCCTCTATAGTAAGTATCCTCCCTCCTCAGACAAACCTAGTGCTCCTTTCTCAGAGTAGCATAGTCCCTCACTGGTGAAGACAGCATAGCACTCTTACTCACTCGCAGGCTCTGACACTTCCCGTTCCACTGCTACACTGCCCCTCTTAGGGTAGGAACTGTATCTGCTTCCCCTTCATGGCCCCAGGGCCTGTCACTTAGTAGGTGCTCAACCAGTATCTGCTGGACTGACCTTTGGAAGGACAGACACTTACTATACTAGATCATATTTTTAAAACTCCACAAAATGCTATACATACTTTATTATAAAGACAGTAAAATTATCATGTTTCATAAATATTCTCTCTGGATCTCTGTTCTTGAAATTGAAAGAACATACATATATTCTCCCTACCTGCATAATGTTTAGGGCACATCACAATCAACTGAGACTCAACCCCCTGTTACTGTGGATGGAATGGTGGGATGGCCCAAACGCACTGGCAGACTATTCCTTTGATTCCCAACAGCAACCTGTTACAGCTACAAACTGGCTTTCTCTCATTCAGTAGTTATTAAATACCTACTCTATGCATATTATTACTCACTTGGGCAAAATTAAGAGGAGGATTCGGCCCTGGTGTCGCTTACCATCGAGTAGACACAGCATGAACACAAGTACTCAGGATATAAAGTAGAAGGTGCTAAGGGTTAAAAGACACCTACCGATAAGGGCTGTGGGAATTGAAAGGAAGGAGGGATGGTTGAGAAGGACTCATGGAACATGTGGCATTTCAGCTGGAATATAGGATTTGGACAAGCAGACACATCTCGGGGCCAGGGCAAAGCTCACACAGAGGTACGAGTAGGGAGCCAACCTTTGCTTGGCCGTAAAGGGCAGAGCAAGAGGGGCACTTGGAAAAGCAGGTTGGAGCCCAGTTGCTGCTGGCCTTGAATACTAGCGTGTAGTGACTTAACTTTATTCTTAAGTAAGGGGTAAAATGGTCATGGTTATACTTTAGGAAAAGCAGTCTGGACAGCAGCCTCAGAATGAATTTGCAGGCGAGAGATCATAAGCAGAGAGAGCAGTTATTTTATGTTTATTTGATAATACTGGGTCTTCAGGGATCACGCAGCTGTGTAGGTGGATTGAAAACTTTGATCAGAACCATTTTTGAAACCAAGGCAGGCTAAGTGACTCATCAGTAAGCCAAGAAGAATTTCTAAGGAGTCATCACAGACGGTCTCAAAAAATGTACAGTGTGAAGAGGAAATCTGCTAACAGCTCTTAAACAGACAGCTCAGGTCCGGGGAGGTAGGTTAATGTGGGAAACTGAAATCAAACAGCGTCTGTGAAAGCCACGCTGCCTCGCCGCGGAGTGGCGGGCGAACTGCCAGAGGGCGGGCCTGCGGCAGAATGGGGCAAAGTCTGCCCGCCAGACAGAAAGCCCCGAGAGAGGAGGGAAGGGGAGCTGACAACGCTGAAGGTAAAATCCAAATAACTTATGCAGCGCAAGAGGCAGATTTCTCAATAGTAAATTGCATTTGCCAAACCAGATTGAAATTAGTAGAAGCAAACAGGGGAATGTGATTTAGGAAAGGTAAAGCAGCTGCTAAATGAACCGCTAACTAGCAGTTCCGATGGTCACCCAACAGCCTGCGCTGCCGCCTGGTCCACCCCTCCTGTGCCACTCTGTTTCTGGCAGGAGAGCCCCTGAGGGATGCAGTTCAAGTGCCGCTTCCAGCAGGGGCTTCGGTGTGACGCTGCGGCAGCAGGCTCAGCCAAGTACGGGCTGTGCGCTGAAGCAGTGCCATACCAGCCTCTGCAGACCAGCTCCGCAGGCGCGAATTTTATGAGTGCACCGTATGCAAACCATCATTAGTCACGCATTGATTGATCCATTCCTACAAGAGATTCATTTCCAAATGCAAAGGCAGCCTTTCAACACAGCCTCAGTAGAACACCATCTTTGTCATCCGCTCATATATTTAAGGCTACTTCAGAAAGAGGTCTTTTTTAGATTTAAATGCTTAGACCCCCTTATCTCTCTGCTACATCATGCATAGAGACTCTGTGAGGTACCTGTATTTTTTATGCATACATCTGAGTGCACAGGATTTCTCCATCTTTCTCAGAGACATTTTCATTAGAAAATAAATGTAGTGAATTTATAAATAAGAAGGTGGAGAAACAATATTCTCTCTTCACATTTGCCAAGCTCTGTGATTAAAACAGACACAGAGCTTGGCCCAGAAATTCGCTAGAATTCAACATTACTATGGAGTATCTAAGAATAGACAGAATTTTTTTCCCTTTTTTTTTCTCATTTCTTTGAAACTTGATATTCCTGTCTTAATTATCCTCCTTTGGGAATTATATGCAATATTCATAGTTGGATTTTAGATTAGAGCTGTTACTGACAATTTTCAAGGTATCTTCAGAGCAAAGATATGTAAAATCACAAGGATAAATGTTTTCTTTATCTGACCATATGTAATGAAAATCCCGGGGCAAAATACCTCTAAAAACCGAAATCAGTCAAAAGGGAGAAATAAAGTTCAAAATCCATTTATTGCTCCGAAAACTGCAGTCACAGGCCGTCTTCTCTGCTCAAGCAGCAACCACACCAGCCCTCCCCCTCACCTCTCAGGTACAGATAAGCACTCTGTTGCCCAGGTAATTACCCATTGATATGGAGATGAACTTCTCCATCCCTGAGGAAAGATGCAAATGAACTAAAGCAATACTTCTTTCCACCACTGAACACCTATTGATACACAGATGTACTAAAGCCAGGTGAGATATTCTGGAAATATAACAATTTTACCCACACCATGGTTGTCTATTTTTTTCTTTTAAAGAGCGATAGGCAAAAGTAGTATAAACATCTAAAGAGAAAGTTCTCTGTAAGTCGTGATTTATATTATGTTTTGAAGAGGAGAGATTGGAAGCAAGGAGAACAGTTATTCTATGTTTATTCCATAATTCTGGGTCTTTACTGATCACACAACTGTGTAGGTGGATTGGAAACTGTGGTCTAATGTAACTATAATGTGATTAGTGTAATTAATAAGTAAGCATTGTATTATTTAGAAGGGCATGGCTGATGTGGTAATAATGATGGTAATTTTTAAGAAATTTTGTATTATACTAACCAACTACAGTAGCTTGAAATGCTAGAGTTTTATTCAAAAGAACTACATTAGAAGGGTAACGTGCAATGTGTACACGTAACTCCAGTGCACTAGCAACTACTAGGCCAGTTGTATTTATTGTTGGACACACACTGTTAGTGACTTTCCTGGGATGGATGCAGGTGTTTTTGTTCCTGTTTTCTCCCCATCTTGACTTCTCTTAAAAGAGGAGAGAAATGGGAAGATATTGGTCAAAGAGCACAAATATCCGGTTGTAAGATTAACCAGTTCTGGAGATCTAAGGTTCAGCATGGTGATTGTAACTAATAATACTGTATTATATACTTGAATGTTGTTGAGAGTAGATCTTAAATGTTCTCTCTCCAAAAAAATGGTAATTAAATGATGAGATAGAGGTACTTGCAATAGGCATTGAAGAAATATTCACTGAATGGATTTTTAAAGAGGGAAGAGAGGAAAACTGAGAAAGAACTTAGATTTGAAGAAGTTAATATTTTTTAAAATGGAGACTAGAAAACCTAAGAACCATCAAATGAGTGAATAAAAAAAATCAAAGGAATCTTGAGTCACGTGTACGTAAACATGTATGAGAGCCCTTGGTAAAACCCACATATTTAGCATTTATATATGTTAAGATTCAAAACCAGCTTTCTGATCTACAGTGTCAGAACCTCTATATACCCACAGCTTGTGCTGCTCTTATGTACAGATCAATGTGGAGGAGGCTGCCTGTTTTCTAACATCATTAGAAAATAGGCTGTACTGTTTAATGAAATGTTCTGGTCAGTAGAGTCACATTACACATATCATACCCATATCATCCATAGCCCTGAATCTGATTATAGTAAACCACACATAACTCTAAAACTCAAAAAAGAAATGGTAAAAAGAAACTGGTCATAATTTAACCATTGATGAAAATGTGTAAAGATTGTGTAGCACTTTCATGATCCTCATTATGGATGCCACTTACCTTTGTACCCTGCAGGCTCTAGTATTTGTCAGTAGCAGCTACACTAATCCCCTTGATAGAAAGCTGGGTGAGCTAGGTTTTACTAAAGTAGATAGAACACCCTGTGGTAATTGCAAGTTCTGTGAGAGAAAGGTCAATTAATTCTGCTAGGCCAAAAGAAAGAATGTGGGCTAAATTTGATCAAGAAATATGTATAGGTCATTAAAAATTGAATATCAGCCTAACCTACTGAAATCCTTAGCTCTTACATATATATTTATTTTTACTTTTTTATGTGTTTGATTTTCAGAAGTATATTTGGGAATATTCTCTATTATGGCTAAGATCACCATTTCAAAAATACAGTACCTCACATTTTTATATCTCTGAAAACATTACTGGAGTTTCAGAACACATTTGTGTCCACATCAAGATGACTATTTGCACTGTGCAGATAGGAGAAGCAGGGACATGAGGCGATTTCTCTAAGTTTTCTAGAAATACCCCCTGAGCCAGTGGAAAGGAGAGCCTGAGACACAAAATTACGTGTGTCCTCACTGAAAGCACATCTTGAATGCATCTGCAGTCTTAGAGGTGGGGTGGGGGGTAGATAGCCAAACCAGAGTTGTCTTTTGACACTTGCTACTACAGTCCTAACAAGGTCTTTGTACCCACATGCACATAAAGAAAGAGGGCATCAAGGTGATTACCAGGATGAATTTTTACTAGTCTAAAATGACTTTGGAGTGTTTAATGGCAAGAAGATAGATTAATCGGCTTTTCCAAGATCTTCCTAATAGTTATAATTCTATCCAGTGAAAGATTCAAGGATGAAAATTTAAAGTGTTTACCTTTCTTTTTCTTTTATTTTCCTTTACAGATCTATGCAGTTCGGTCAGTTGTTCCCAATAAAAGCAATAATGAAATAGTCCTGGTGCTACAACAGTTTGATTTTAATGTAGATAAAGCAGTGCAAGCCTTTGTGGATGGTGAGTATACATGACCCTTGCACCTGAAGATGTTGGAATATTTTGTATATTTTGTATTTCTTTCCTTGAGTGCACTGAATACCAATTAGTTACTAATCCTTTAGTTCTCATAAAAATATGCTAGACTTTAAAAACATATCTACATAATAAGAGCAGAATTTGGAGGTTCTTTTTTCTCTCATTAAAGAAACATAAAACAGACTGTACATAGTTTTTCCAAAGGATCTCTATTAAAATGCTGCCAATTCCGCTGTCTACCAGTTATTCCTTTTTGGTATTAAACATGTTCTTTATTTGTTGCTGTTCTTGTCAATGAAGGATAATGTGCCTCATTCCCGACATGGAAAGCCATCTTCACTCTCCACCCAGCAGAGTTCTCCTTGGCCTAATGACTGGAATCTTTGAACCCGATGGTCTGAGAGGACTGGTTAATTCTTCAATATCCTTAATCTATAATTTTGAGATTGTTTAATTAACCAGAATATCAGTTCATCTTATCTACCACTAGAATCTTTCTGCTGTTTAAAAAAAAGATGCGTTTTTTAGATAGCCCATTGCCAGTGATGTTCTGGAATCTAAAGTTTCAAGAATGTGTTTATCCTAAAAGTTTATAACCTTTGGCTTTTGATTTCCTATAAATTCTGGGGAAACTCTCCTTTCCTAATCAAATTAAACAAGTTCCATTTATGAACAAAGTTCTCATACCTGTCTTTAGTTACCATATGCCTTCTGTCCTAGTATTTGTTTCTATTTTGTATGTATGGACCCGCTATTACCTGACAGATAAGATGAGGGAAGGCCTGTTGGCACATTTCTCAGTTATATCCTATTCACACTTTATTTGTCAAGGACAGTTTAATTTAACTTTTTTTCCTAGGAGTAAAATAACCTTTCTAAGTCTCTACAAGTATAATTAAATTTCAGGCAAATTCTTAGAACCGGGAAGCACACTCACATTCTGATATCTGCAGTCAAGGGTTAGGGTCCTAAATGAAGTAGAAATGATTATCATGCAAAATAGACTTGCAAGCAGACCACCATGCATAACTTTACTGTTCCCCCCGCCCCCTGCTTCCTATACTAGCAGATAGAGAATCTTCTGTCATAAAGAAACCAGTAGTAGAGAATGTAATATGAAGCTGACTTTGCACTTTCGTGCAATTGGTGTTAAGAAAAATCTGGGGGGATATATGCACATTCTGGCTCAGATGAACTCCCTTTTCAGGTTTCACTGCCAACATCATCAAAATTTTTTTAAAAAATCCTGTAGAAAAGGGAAAAAGGTTCTTAGCCCCATTCCTCCCCACCCTCCTTTGGATTGAGGCCTTCACATTCCCCGTTATGAAAGTTTTCTTACAGAGTGACCCTGATGAGATGCACAGATGTTCAGTAACTGATAAACTGCCATCAAAAGCCTTTTGTATTTAAATGGAGCACGTTGTTTTGTCCTTGAAATTCCCACCTTGTCAGTGTTGAGATCTCATTTAAAAAAAAAGCTTATTGATTGCCCAGAAACCTCATTTTGGTTAGGCATCAATCAGAAAACATGTTTAAGAACCACTGAGAACCAAAAATATTTCTTAGAAATCACTTACAAGGCCTATTACAAGCACCATTCCCAAGTGGCTTAAAAATCTACCAGCAGTTTCAGTATAACTATGTAACGGAGTGCAGAGAGCATCAAGTCAGGAAAAAGAACTAATGACACTTAACCTGACTGCCTAGAGCAAGAGCCACCCAGTCTTTTCTTGTGTAAATTACCCGAGGCTTCTGAGAAATGCGCCTACCCTAAGTTAGATAACTAGAAGTGGGCAACAGCCTGGGAACGCCTGGGATGTAACCTGTGATAAATCACATAGACAGGCTTGGGTAAGCAAGAGATAACAATTGAAGTGGGCAGGCAACTGGCGCGTTCCCTAAAAAGGTTACAATGTTTCCCATTGGTTACAATATAGAGTGTGTTTTAAACCTATTAGTTGTAGAACTGCGTGGGCTTTGGTGTAACTGCTGTGAAGATCCTACGTAATCAGTACCCAAAGTTGCTTCGGGGTCGGCAGTTCGTACTCGGCCTTACTCGGCCTGCTTGTCAGGGGAGGTGCTGTCGACCCCAGCTTGCTGGCTGAATAAAGACTTTGCTTGGATTTTCATCTCCATGTCCGTGTGTCTTGTTCTCTGGGAAACCCCGGAGTCCTAGACCCTAACAACTATAATTTAATAAAAAGTTTCAAAATCCTTTGTAAACAAGGTATTTCTTCCTCAGAATAGTCTCTAAAAGCTCATTGTCCAAATTGCAAATAGAATCTATGCCCAAATATGAAAATTAAAGAATTGAGTACTGTAATGGAAAGCAGTAAGCAACTCACCTTCTTCCTCTGATTAAAAAGAGCAGCATTTAACATTTTTTAAGATTTAATTTTATTTAGAAAGCTGAAGTGTAGCTTTAAGTAAGAACTACCGTAATGACTATTAGCCACTGGAGTGACTTAAAAAGAAACCTAGTGAATGTGACTTCCTAAAGTTCTTCCAAAGGAAAATACTGGGAAACATTCATTCTCTGAGCAAATGAGAGAAAGACCAGCTTTCTGGTTAATAAAAGTCTGAATTACAGCTACTTTTAAGTGCAGTCTTATTATTTCTAGTACATGTAACTCAAAAAGCTGTAACAGAGCCACTGAATTGGAAACTTTGAATAGATAGGAATAATTAGTCTGTCTAAACGTTAGTCAAAGCAGTATGGCCTTCTGCTTATCTAACAGTGACAGTAGACTGAATAATTGGTACCTTACTAATTTGAAATTCGTTATAAAGACCAGCCTGAAGTTTATCTTGTGTAGCCAACACACTCAATGTAGAGAACTATTAGTATAATGAGATTGTATGAGAATGCTTAAAACTGTTAAAAGAATACATTTAAGAGCTACTCTTTTAGAAGTACCTATTTATATGAAAACAACTGATGTCCTCAGGACCAGTAACTTATTCTTGAAATTACCTCCAGGACAGTTGGCATGAGTGAAAGAACTTGGTTAGAGGACATGGAAACAGTTGTTACAACTGACCAATAGTAAAACATTTTCTTGTAAAGTATTTCATAACTTAATCGGGTTAGGCTTTCCCTCTGAGTCCATACAGTTCGTTCTGCAGATGTTTGTAGATAGCATTGAGAAAACCTGGACCTCAGCTTGTCATTTGACAAACTTACTTGTTTCAAAGTGAAAGCCTTGCAAAGACCCAGCCAAGGTGAGAAGAGCAAAGTTGACATCAGGTAATCTGTCCTCTTTCTCACCTTTCAAGGTGTGAACATGAAGAGTAAAGGCAGAAAAGGAGCAGGAGAAGCCGAACAGAAAGCTGTGATTCACTTGACTAGTAATATTCAAAATCCCATGTTTGTCCAGAAGATTATAGGCATTTTGATTCATATATCAAACAGAACAATTCTAATTCTACCTATGACAATGAAGCTATCAGAAATTCTCAAGATATATTTCATCTTCTCTAAGACAACATGATCATAAAAAAAAGTAAGCTTCATGTAGTGGGGCTTAATATTTTGATAAAACCAGGATCATGAATTAAATGAAAATCTGGAAATAAAAATGACGCTGGCATTTTTATTAAGGTAGGATGTATCAAAACAAATGAAAAGCCCAAAGAAAAGCATTTGCTACCAAGATGGAAAGACAGAGATTAATTTTGTGTGGTGTTTTATTATGTGAATACATGTTGAAGATCCTTTGTCTTTGTCTAGGCAGTGCAATCCAAGTTCTAAAAGAATGGAATATGACAGGAAAAAAGAAGGTAAGATTAATATTGATTGTAAATTAGTAACATCTTCAATCAAAACCTTCCTGGCTCTTATCATTTTAACAAGACTTCCAATTTCGTGCTTCTTTCAAATATGTTAATATTGTATACCCAGAAAGCTTCCAGATTCATGACTATTTCCAATTACCAGCCATCCTCACTACTAATGCCCTAGTTTTCTGTTCAAGTGTTTTTAACCACCAGATGTGCTCTAGAAGTCCCAGAGTTGTTTTTTTTTTTAAGTATTAAGGGGAGCCCAGTCACAGAATTCAAAGGATTCAAGACATTAAGTTGCCTGAACATATCCTGTAGCACAAAAGAAGAAATTAGGGAGTATGAAAATCTCCCAGTAGTTTCAGTATAACTATAATTTAATAATAACAGTTTCAAAATCCTTTTTCAAGTAGCTTTAAAGCTCCTTTCCCTAAACTCCGTTTTCCCCAGAGGATCAGAACCTTAGTGTCCTCCTTGCCTCCCTCACCCCCATCACCTCTTTAAGCAGCAGCAGCTAGTCTCCGATGACTTGATAACCGATGACTGAATTCCAGTCCTTTCAGGACAGCCATCCCAAAATTTCATCATATTGCCATTCATATACATAGCACTTTAATTTGCTCAAATACTCTCTTAGCCAGTTAAGGCATACCTTGTTATTTTTTTTACTTGTCAAGGAACTTTTTTTTGTTTAAAGTTACTTGAAAAAGCTCTGAATATATTTTCTTATGTTTTTCTAACTGAAAGAATCTGTCCAAGACTGCCCTAAGATACTTTTTTGCCAAGTCCTAAGCTAGGTCTTTAACAAAAGGAGAAAAGAATATGCCTTAATGAAGCCATAGTAAGCAAGGGACCTATTTTCCCTTCTTGAGAACCCTGGCAGACTGCTCCCTGAGAACAGGGAAGATTTTACTCTGTCCTCTTCAAATTGTTTTGCCTTTTTGCTTAGTCACAAAGAATCTGATCTGGGCACACTTGAGGCGTATCTTTGCACATACTGGCCCTCTGGGTCTAGTGTGTACCTTCCAGATCTTGTGAGCATATACAGGGGCTCACTAGCCCCTGTAAGGTGCAGTTCTTATCCTTGACCAGTAACCTGTTTCAAGCCTTTCACAAAATGTCTGCTTCTCTTTGCAAAGAAACTGCCCAGCCCATTCCCATTATTTCCCAGCAAGGTTTGGTGTTTTGGGTATCTCAGTCCACCCTTTCCCATGCAGAAAGATCGCAGGCCTGAAGAACAGGCTTTGAACAAACCAACACCCAAAAAAGCAGTATTACTTTCACTAAAATCCTGGGATTACTAGAATTATCCTTTCCCTTTTTCTCTCTCCCTAGTTTCATATGGAATAGGAAGAATTATAACATTTTTTTATTTGTGTATGTCACCATCTTTGGCAATCTCTGCTTATCTGTCATAATTTCCCAGGCTTCTGTGTGAGATGAAGATAATTTGCAAGTGATTGAAAGGCTGTATCTGCACTTACAAGGAAAAATTTCAGATGTAGGGCTTAAGTATCAAATTCCTCTGGTGTGAAGAAAGGCAGAGCACCTGCAGACCCAATGCATTGCTGAGTCTCTCTCTTCAAGGTTCAGGGGAAAATGGTTCCCCCAGCCCAGGGCACAGCTGGGGGCCTGTGTGGGCTTCGGTGCCTGTACTTCACCCAGTGAATGCACTTCCCTGGCCTAAAGGGGCACTTACTATGGCGCGTGATTGTAGTTTCAAAGGAAAAGAAAGGGAGGGGGGAGGAGAATGAAGAAGAAAGAATCGTTTCTGTTTATTTCTTTTCCAAATATGCTGGAGAACAGTCAGGCCGATGTTCAGCTGGTGCTCGCTGCTGCAGTAAGAGGGACAGGGTCGGTCCCAGAGGGTCAGGCATCTGTTTGGATTGGCCAAGGCCTATACCAAACTGAATGTTAAGAACCTTGAATATTCCTACAGTAAAACCGAAGTCAAGTAAGAGATACAGCATAATCAGAAACAGCATCTTCTTCATTTCCTGTGTATTTTAACATATTGACCATTAGGGCATTTTAGGAGAGAGAGATTGAAACCCTGCCATACTATGATAATTGAAATCTAAAAACAATTTCAGTTGTCTAAAATGTAATATTGTGTTATATTACAATAAACAAAAGAGCGTTGTAATGCTGTTCAACTAGCAGCCAAGAGGTCTGGCGGTACAGGTGGAGCCAGATCAGTTTGGCATTACTTTTCATCAGTTGTCTGCTCCAGTGAAATATTCATGGCCAAGTGCATCGGTCCTGCGGCTGCCTGGGACTCCTTGGACAGTGGCAGCAATCCCGGGTCTCTTGATTGCCTGGTGCCTATTCAGAGACCCAGTCTGCACTTTTGTTTCTGGCAGAGGGGAGGGGGACCTGCCTTTGTTCTACTTCCTCATCTTGCAAGGACTTGCCTGCCTTTTTGTACCAATCCTTCCCCCAAACTCCGTTTTCTCCTAGAGGATCTGAACCTTAGTGTCCTCCTTGCCTCCCTCACCCCCATCACCTCTTTAAGAAGCAACAGCTAGTCTCCCATGACTTGATAACCGATGACTGAATTCCAGTCCATTCAGGACACCCATCCCAAAATTTCATCATATTGCCATTCATATACATCGCACTTTAATTTGCTCAAATACTATCTTAGCCAGTTAAGGCATACCTTGTTATTTTTTTTACTTGTAAAGGAGTTTTTTTTGTTACTATTTTACGAGGTAAAAGTTTATACAACTTCCTGTAAGAAAGAAGATACTTATGTTAATTTGGTTGGCTAATAAAGATGTGGGCGTCACCCGTTCTATTAGAAGAACTGGAAAACAAACCAAAAAAAAGGTAACAAAGCTCATTTTAATCCCCCCCATTCACTTTCTATGTCAAGGGTCTGAGCTGAATAATAGTATCTCCTCGTTTGTTTCTCATTCTAGAACAATAAAAGGAAAAGAAGCAAGTCCAAGCAGCATCAAGGCAACAAAGACGCTAAAGACAAGGCAGAGAGGCCCGAGGCTGGGCCCCTGCCGCCCTCGCCACCGCAGATAGAAAATGGCCACACAAAGGGCTGTGAGAAGGACAGCTCGTCCGCCGATTCCGCCAGCGAAAAACCAGTGCTTATCCCTCGTGAGAAAAAGATCTCAGTACCTGAGGAACCTTCAAAGGCACTCCGTGGGGTCACAGGTCAGTTCAGTAATCCTCAACTAAAGTTACTTAGGAAGACATAAAGGAAAAGCATGCAGGCAGAAGCCATTGGGACGGTCATTGCTACTGTCGGTATTTCTGGAAGTGCAAGGTTGTTCTTCACAGTGTAGTCGGATTCAAACAACTTCCTGCAGGAGAGGCCAGGGTCAGGGGGAATGTAACAGGGATGAAGAATAAATGCTCAAATCTAGCCCTGTACTAAGTCAGAGGATTACTTTCTTCTAAAAAAACTTAGCTCTGGTCTGTACTAGGATTATAAGGAAAATAGAAATTCCAGTTTAAAGAAATCTGTTTATAGATAACTCTGCTGGAGTCAGAGGGAGGTAGAATTGGTGACAAGTGGAAAGGTTATTAAAGGGTAGACCAAATTATTTTATATTATCTGACAGGACATAATCTCCCAGGGTGGTAGAATCTGGAATGTTAATTACTTTGCTATATCTATATATTAGTTAATCTATAAAAGGCACTGCTTCACCACTGTAGGGCCTTTCATCATTTCTTCTCTAGTGACCCATTTCCATTCTGAAAAATAAGGAAACTGGCTTGGAATGTACTAGATCATTGGTCCTCAATACTATGTGACCCAATGCTCCACTTTTATAACAAATCCTAAAATAAAACCCACAGATAGTATAATCTACCTGTAAACAGAAATTTCAATAAAGTAAAAAATATAAGAAACCAAGAACAACTAAAATAGAAGACCTAGTAAAATGGTCAAATGTTCATACCCATTTTGTACATAAAAAGTAAGACAGTAGTCAACTGGATATTGTGGACACTGTTTCTTTATATTTCCCATGTGAAGTAAGAGCTAAATAAGTATTCTTGTATGTAAACATGAAGTCACTGTGAATGCAACAGGCACAAATACAGACTGACCCAGGGGTGCTGGTTTTCAACTCAAATACCATGACTGCTGGTGTGGTCAGCCATGTCATTTTCCATATGGTGAAAAACTTGGTAAAGTTCTGAACATCATAAAATACATTCTTTTCTTAATTTACACAGTAGTTGAATCCTGGAAATCCAAGTAAATCCTGGAAATCCATAGGAAAACTACCAAAAATACTTTGTGTATATAAAGTCATGAGAAAAAGTTTGGGGTCATTCTTTATTATATGGGATTCCTGTGATTGTAAGTCATCTAGCATCCTGCCCTCCCCTCCCACACACACAATCATTTTTTAATAAGTTTAAAAATGCCCTCAGTTTTTTAAAAATGGCTCCTAGAAAGTGGTAGACCCTTTAGTGAGAGCCAGTACACTAGGTGATTCCCATAGTCAGTCTTGTAGTTATAAAATCCTGAGTTTACTGAATCGGTGGCTTTTTAAATCCTTACACGCAAAGCTCTGTGCTCTTATGACACGGTAGATTCAGAGAAGCATGTGGTATGCTCAGGGTTCTGCGGGAATCACATTTGGATATGCTTGAAGAAAAGGCTGTGCACACACGTGTGAATTATGGTTTGGAGAAGAGTGCCACCTCCACCTGAGTGGCCTAGGAAGAAATCATGGGGGCTGTGGGCATGGGAGGGCCAGTAGACTTGAGGTGGTAGAGGACTTGGAGGGTTAGAAAGAAGTAGGGGGAACTTTACTCAACGCCCTCGAATATTGCCTGCCTGCCAACTGTGAGGCAGTGCTAGCCTCTGATAAGCCAAAGGTGAATAAGCTGGGGCCCACCCTAGGGAAGAGTTCAGTCTCGCAGGAGACAGATGCAAACAGAAAAGCCTATGGTGACACGTACCTAATCAGAGATAACAGTGAGGGAGTTTTAAATAGCTGATACACTCTACAACACACTATTAAGTGTTTAGATTGCTCTCACAAAGCACCACTTTCCTTCCATAAACATATTACCTAACAATTCTATTAATAGCCAGTGCTGTATTTAGGATTATCCTTAATACACAATTATTCCTTAAAACAAACAACAATAAAAAGAACTATTTTCATTTAGAATCGAAATTTCCAGGAATTTTTTAATTCAATTTTAACTCTGCATACAGTTCTGGGAATGTTTTGATTTGTAGTCAGGGCAAGAGAAAGAAATTAAATAATTGAGTGGCAGATTCCCAGCTTTGCTTGTAATTGCTTTCACATGAATTACTTTCAAAATCTAATTACTCAAGTTGCTGTTTTGATATCAATCATAGACTAAAAGCATCACACATATATTTGTTCATCTACTTACATATACCTTCTTCCTATAACAATTTGGTAACTCTGTCGAGTATATGACATGAGAGCAAATTCAGTATTGAAGCACTTCACTTCACAGTGGCTAGCTGCCTTGAGAGTTGAGCACCCACTAGAGGAGTTCTCTGCACAAGGGGGCTTTATAAATCCTAACGTGAAACTCTCTGTGAAGGTCCTTTATTGCACAAAGAGCCACCCCAACATCTGTTCAGTTTCATAAGTTTGGTATGAAGGCATTGAGTTGTGTCAGAATTATTTGGTAGTGTTTCTGGTTCAGTACAAATCTATGCTTCATGTAAATTCTTCTGATAAAGAATAAATGATGGTGCTGGAAGCTTATTAGATGCTTTTGCAAAAGGAAGGGAATCCTCCTAGTTGACCATCAACTTCATTAGCAGCTCCTCTATTATGAGGGCAAACTTAAAATAAGTTTGTAACTAGTTAGGCTTCCTTTCCCCAAGATAATGAAGGTTCATCAGCTAGTTGATGTCAAATGATTTTGAAATGCTTGCTCAATCTATCAGAAGTCCTGAGACCTCTAAGAGCTCTTTCACAGATGAGTGCTAGGACTTGGACATTCTGCACCCCATTTGGGGTAGACCCGTGGAACTGGAAAGGGTAGGAGTGAGCCTTTGATCCTGGCCGCTCGCTTTATAGCTGAAGAAACCAAGGCTTCCTGGGTTGAGAAGCTGGTAAACCCACAAGTCTGTGGTAACTTTCTTTAGTTTGGAAAAACCTGACTCAAGTCCATGTCATTTTATGCATGCTTTGAGCATTACTGCTAAAACAAAGGGCTCCCTAACTCCTAAAAATGAATAATTNAGATGCAAATGCACTAAAGCCATACTTCTTTCCACCACTGAACACCTATTGATACACAGATGTACTAAAGCCAAGCGAGATATTCTGGAAATATTAAAATTTTACCCACACCATGGTTGTATATTTTTTCTTTTAAAGAGCAATAGGCAAAAGTAGTATAAACATCTAAAGAGAAAGTACTCTGTAAGTCGTGGTTTATATTATGTTTTGAAGAGGAGAGATTGGAAGCAAGGAGAATAGTTATTCTATGTTTATTCCATAACTGGGTTTTTACTGATCACACAACTGTGTAGGTGGATTAAAAACTGTGGTCTAATGTAACTATAATGTGATTAGTATAATTAATAAGTAAGCATTGTATTATTTAGAAGGGCATGGTTGATGTGGTAATAATGATGGTAATTTTTAAGAAATTTTGTATTATACTAACCAACTACAGTAGCTTGAAATGCTAGAGTTTTATTCAAAAGAACTGCATTATAAGGGTAACGTGCAATGTGTACACATAACTCCAGTGCACTAGCAACTACTAGGCCAGTTGTATTTATTGTTGGACACACACTGTTACTGACTTTCCTGGGATGGATGCAGGTGTTTTTGATCCTGTTTTCTCCCCATCTTGACTACTTTTAAGAGAGGAGAGAAATGGGAAGATATTGGTCAAAGAGCACAAATATCCAGTTGTAAGATTAACCAGTTCTGAAGATCTAAGGTTCAGCATGGTGATTGTAACTAATAATACTGTATTATATACTTGAACGTTGTTGAGAGTAGATCTTAAATGTTCTCTCTCCAAAAAAAATGGTAATTAAATTATGAGATAGAGGTACTAGCAATAGGCATTGAAGAAATATTCACTGAATGGATTTTTAAAGAGGGAAGAGAGGAAAACTGAGAAAGAACTTAGATTTGAAGAAGTTAATATTTTTTAAAATGGAGACTAGAAAACCTAAGAACCATCAAATGTGAGAATAAAAAAAAATCTAAGGAATCTTGAGTCACGTGTATGTAAACATATATGAGAGCCCTTGGTAAAACCCACATATTTAGCATTTATATATGTTAAGATTCAAAACCAGCTTTCTGATCTACAGTGTCAGAACCTCTATATACCCACAGCTTGTGCTGCTCTTATGTACAGATCTATGTGGAGGAGGCTGCCTGTTTTCTAACATCATTAGAAAATAGGCTGTACTGTTCAATAAAATGTTCTGGTCAGTAGAGTCACATTACACATATCATACCCATATCATCCATAGCCCATGAATCTGATTACAGTAAACCACACATAACTCTAAAACTCAAAAAAGAAATGGTAAAAAGAAACTGGTCATAATTTAACCATTGATGAAAACGTATAAAGATTGTGTAGCACTTTCATGATCCTCATATGGATGCCACTTAACTTTGCACCCTGCAGACTCTAGTATTTGTCAGTAGCAGCTACACTAATCAGCTTGATAGAAAGCTGGGTGAGCTAGGTTTTACTGAAGTAGATAGAGCACCCTGTGGTTATTGCAAGTTCTGTGAGAGAAAGGTCAATTAATTCTGCTAGGCCAAAAGAAAGAGTGTGGCCTAAATTTGATCAAGAAATATGTATAGGTCATTAAAAATTGAATATCAGCCTAACCTACTGAAATCCTTAGCTCTTACATATATATATTTATTTTTACTTTTTTATGTGTTTGATTTTCAGAAGTGTATTTAGGAATATCTCTTTTATGGCTAAGATCACCATTTCAAAAATACAGTACCTCACATTTTTATATCTCTACAAACATTACTGGAGTTTCAGAACACATTTGTGCCCACATCAAGATGATTATTTGCACTGTGCAGATAGGAGAAGCAGGGGCATGAGGCAATTTCTCTAAGCTTTCTAGAAATATCCCCTGAGCCAGTGGAAAGGAGAGCCTGAGACACAAAATTACATGTGTACTCCCTAAAAGCACATCT